TTTTCTCCACGCATTTGACCGCTTTCTTCGAGCCAACAAAGCATGCAACACGCGCGCGGGGGAGAGGCCGGAGGACCCTGCCGTATTTGCAGTCCCTCATCTGTCCCTTGATGATTTTGGGTGATGAGGGATGGACAGGTTTCAGCTGCAAGCTCACGCCTGAACCGCGTGTCCTCTGACGCTTGGCGCAAGGTCCTTCTTGCTCCGAGCAGGTTTGTATCCGTGTGTCGAGGCACCAACACGCTCCCTTCTCATCCTTTCTTTGCGGACTTGAATCGGGTGCCGGCCGCCGAACAACAACCACGCGGTGCTGTCCCTGGTTCGTGCTATAGCCACAAGCCTTCCGCCACCCTGCGACCATCCTGCTCCGAACGCCATTCCGCCACCTGGTGGATTGTCCAGTCTGAGTGGGAACTCATCGAGGGACTGCGTACAGCGTAACATCACTGTGTCTGATCCTTTCGCCACGCCTTGTGAAGTCCACAACATTCCATGCCACCCAAGCCCATTCAGATTGCTCCACCCCTAGACTCATGCTTCAAGGCCACGCACATATTCCCGAAGTGCTGCACGCGGTTTTCCGGGCATTAGCGCCACGCCCATCGGCCAGGCTAAAATGTCAGACGAAAGCGGCGTCAGATGTCCTCTGCCTCGATTCTGCTGGTCGGTGCCCCTGATTGGTCTACAGAGCAAGCGGATGAGTGTGCGGCTCTAGCCTCGAGATAGATCGACTCAATTGAGAACCTAGCCTGCAACTCGACCTTTTGTGATTGACGGGCCGCGCTCATTGATCGCCAGTGCACCTTCCTCGTGGGCGCTTGCGCTGAAGCACAGCAACATTCAAGCTTGTTTCACATGCAGCCCCTCCCTTTGCTCTCTCTTGCTCTCGAGGAGGCGCAAGGGTGGCAACGGCGTGCAAGCAAGGACGACGGTTAGAGCGATGCAGGAGTGGGCTGGATATACTCTACTCTTCTAGCTGCACTGCACATCAGGGACATCATATGTTGCCGGCAGCAGCCCAGCAGCAGCAACCTGCATGCTGATCGTGCCACAACGTCGATCGAGGCGCTAAAGGCATCATCACCACATGCAGCCCAGCCCGCCAGCGTGATGGGGACGCGTGGGCTAAGGCACACAAAAGCAATCACGAATGCAGACAATCAAACGCTGCACCCCATCCACATCAGCAGCGTACGACGCCGCATCTGATGAGTTTGCCGCCCACGATGCAGCATGGACGCTGTCGGCCAGCAGCACTCTTGGCTTACTGTACGGGTACGGTACCGCACTTGCGCACGATTCAGCCCAAGCCGGCCGCCCGCTCAGCCTTCATTTGACTGATGGTGCGCCCGAGATTGCGAAGTGCAGTCGTGCAGTCCTGAGTCGCCATTCATTGAATTCGTGATTGATCTTCTCGATTCACTTCACGGATGTCCGAGACCCAGAACGGCGTGGTGGTGGCCAACGATGCATGCGAATCACGAGTAGGTAAGGCGAGACCGCCGCACCGGCTTTGAGTCAGAGTGCTTCTGCCTTGACCAGAGCGGGCGGATGGAGGAGCGTGCATGGAAAGCATGTGGTGGTCTGCTCAGCCGCACGGCGAGCGAGTCGCTTGGGAAGATGATATGATGCCGGAAAACAT